TCCAATCCCCTGCTCAAAGCAGGACCAACACCAACTAAATCATCCCAGCCAGGGCTCTATCAAGCCGGGCCTTAAAAACTCTAAGGATGGAGATTCCACCACCTTCCTAGGTAACCCACTTCAGTGCTTCACCACCCACCTAGTGAAATAGTGTTTCCTAATATCCAACCTAGACCTCCCCCACTGTAATTTGAGACCATTGCTTCTTGTTCTGTCATCTGCCACCACTGAGAACAGCTGAGCTCCATCCTCTTTGGAACCACCCTTTGGGTAGTTGAAGGCTGCTATCAAATCCTCCCTCACTCTTCTCTTCTGCAGACTAAATAACCCCAGTTCCCTCAGCCTCTCCTCGTAAGTCATGTACCCCAGCCCCCTAATCATTTTTGTTGCCCTCTGCTGGACTCTCTCCAATTTGTCCACATCCCTTCTGTAGTGTGGGGACCAAAACTGAACGCAATACTCCAGGTGTGGCCTCATCAGTGCCAAATAGAAGGGAATAATCACTTCCATCGATCTGCTGGCAGTGCTCCTACTAATGCAGCCCAATATGCCATTAGCCTTCTTTTTCCAGAAAGTGACTAATGATGGAGGACGTGCAGGTGGAGTGATGGCTCCGATAGGAATTTCTAAATGAAGAGATGACTACATTTTCTCTTATGAGAGCATTTGGGACAGGTGAGAGTCAGGTCACCTTAATGCTGGTACTGGGGAATGCTGCAGGTCAAGAGGAGACCTTGACTTGTGGCCTCTCATGCCCAGCTCCAGGCTTCTGACCTGACAGAAGTTAAAGATGCCCCAGGATCAAGAGAGAACAGGGAGCCAAAACCCCAGGGATAAAAAAACAGGCTCTCCCTTTATAGGTTAGCACTAGGCACACGCCAAACCCCAACTCCTCCAAGCATCCCTGTAGCATCCCACCCCTGCCCCTGTGGACACTCTCAGAATTACCAGACCTGCTGTTCCCCAAGGAACTGTACACTACAGCTTACTGACTACACCCTGCAGCACAGCTTTGGCTTAACACGCAGCACTTAGATATGTTTATAGCAAACCTAAGAAGTTTATTTAACAAAGGAGAGAGGTTGGAGAAGCAGCAAGCAGAATTAGTAGAGACAAATGGTTACATATAAAATAAAATCATAACATGCTTTCTAGGGCCTAAATGTAACTAGAAAGTTCTCCTCCGGTAGAAAGAAGCCCATCTCACCCAAAGTTCTTCCCAGTGGTTTCAGCCAAGCCTGGCTGAGATTTCTGGCTGGTTTTGTTTCTTTCTGACCCCTCCCCAACCAATCCACTAATTAGCATTTTGTTCAGACAACAAGTGAGCATCCATTGTGAACTGTCCGATACTCATGCAGGTGACCAGCCCAAGTGAGAAGCATCTCTTGCCCCATGCTGGGCAGGAATATGAGAGTCACCTTTTGGTAACCTGCCTTAGCTCTCAGACCTAGAGACCATCGGCAGTATATATACTTAATTCCTCACAGATTTCCCATACATACATCTTGCAATGCTTATGATGGCCAGTGTGACACAGGTGCTCAGAGATCTCACACGGCATTCTGTGGCAGACTAGTATGTAGGTAATGGACCCCAGGGATCCCTATAACTCTTATGTCCCCCTATGTCCTCAGGCTGGCCAGCTGGCACAAAAGTCCCTGGATCACAAGCTCCTTGGCAGACCAGGCCCTCTTATCACCAGAATATGAAGCCGGAGACACGTGGGCCTTTGGCCAGCTCCACATCTAATTCTCTTGCAGGGGCAGAGTGATATACTCACACTCACACTGGATAGTACCTGTCACAGTCCCCAATGTAACTGCACCTCAGACCCCTTCATGGCCTGTTGAAGGGCACCCTATGTAAGCCTCAGACCTCTAGCCGTCACCTTTCTTGGGATGGAGTCTCAATTCTCTCCCTCCAGACTGGGGATTTAGGCTGCAGATTCTTCCAATCCACTGTGATGCTCTCAGCAGGATAGACTTCAGTTCAGCTCCTGTCATCCTGTTCTCGTGTGTGTGTGTGGGTTGGGGGGACCAGTCAACTAAGCAAAGTACTATGTATTCAGAACAAAAGCATTGCAGAGAAATCACATCAGTAATACAATCAATTGCTTCTATGCAGGACTAACTTACTAGGCAGTCACCCATCCTCCCCATGGAGACACTGAAAGGACTAAAGTACTTCAGGCACCCTCTCTCTTGGTCAGTCTCATGTCAGGTCTTGGACTGAAGTGTGAGTGACTGTCCTCAGGGCTGATATTTTTGAACCCTTTCAAGTCCTTTGGTTCAAAGGTCTTTCCAAATTGCATCAGTCTGGGTGCTGTTTCCCCTGGGTGTGCATTTAAAAAGATGCATCTGCATTGTTTCAGTACTGGGATTTGCATTATAACCCCCAAGTGACTTCAGTTCCTGCAGGAAGCATCCCCCATTGAGCCAGGAATACAATCCCTAGCCAGCCCATAACCATACCTATTAACCTTTATGAATCTGATACAACAATCTGAATATTCCAGGCATCCATAGTAAGTCACATCTCAAGGAATAATCAAGACTATTATATTGCTTCCAAAGCATTGCATGTGTCACACCTTACATTAGCTTCAATGGGACTACTTGTAGAGTAGGTACTACTCCATGAAAAGATATCACAACCTGGCATCTTTACTTTCTGTCTCAGGAAAAGAGAGGAAAAGAGAGGAAAATTACCCCCTCCCCCCCAATCCCCTGCTCAAAAGTTTACCAAGACCAAGTCACTCTTGGAAATTTAACATCCTTGGGAGGAGAAAAACCCTGAAGAAGTTTGGACTGAGGACCGGCTCGATGTAACAGAGCACATGTAATGGCAGGATTAGTGTAACACAGGTGAGGGATAAGTCCCATACTCACGCACTCCCAGACCTGAGCCTCCAACTCACTGTGGTGAAAAAAAAAGCAATTCCTATTTTATTAGCCAAAAATGAGTTTGAAAAGCTTGAGTACAAAGATTGATCAAAGAACATCATGGGGAACACAGTTACTGACACAGTGTTCAGACAAATGCATAGATTTGACAAAGCGCTAGTGTGTGACTAAGAAATACTGTTTCCCCAAATAATATTTGACTCCAGCAAGTTGCTTAGAAGAAATTCCAACTCCTTAAGATCTGGGGAAGGGTGGTGAGGAAGGTTAAGCCAAATTCTCTCCCCTCCACCTTTGTTGCTGGGGAGGGAGGTTAAGAGAAGTTGAAAAGGACATGCAGGAAAATATGTTTCAGAAGCTTACACATTCCTGGTAGCTTTCCCCACCATGTGCTTCAAGGGGAAAACAAACCAAGACCACGTCATTATAATGGAGAGCGTATAGTCACTTCCGGCAAGTTAGGGAGGAGGGTTCAGTTTCCAGCAGAGTCGCTCCTGGGTAGACTGGTGTCCCCCATCTATTCAGTCCGCTGGGTCCAGAGGAGCTTACACCTACCATACCCCTGTTCCCTATCAGAAAGGCACAGGTTTCACTCGTCTCTCATCAATAACCTTGAGGCAATTTCTCCCTTGCTCTAGTCTGAGTCCTGGGTGTTTGAGCTTCCTGAAGTAGCAGAGCCTTACCTAGTAACAAGTGCTGCTGGGAGCAGCTGGCCCCACTGGAGAGAAGATGGAGTGTTACCCACAGTGCTGCGTTACCCACAGTGCTGCTCTTTGAAATACAGAGATTCGGACTCGGGAAATCTGGTAGCACTTTGCCATGTGCAAACATCACTGCCATTCCAACAAAATCCGGACAGAACATCCCCCAGGCTGTGAAGGAATTCATGAATTCCACTCCCTCTCAAATGCAAAGCTGTCAGCTGTGCTTCAGGCCTAACATTTCGAAGTCAAACTCCCTCCCCACTCCCTACAGTTTTAAAACAATCAATACAAACAGGTTTTTCCACCCGTTTCTATATCTAGGCTGTTCTTGAAACCACCCGCTGCCCCAGTGCAATGTTTGGAACCCAAGACATCATTGTAGCAAAAGCACCAAAGGCCAGAAAGTGGCACTGCCCAGGCGGTATCACTCTTTGAGGTGCATGAAGTGCCAAGATGCTGATTTTTAACATTTTTGCTTTTATACATTTTTTACATGTAAAAGGCTTTCAAAATGTGCACTTTGCTGGCAGTCCCCATGCGGACCAAGAGGAGAATTCTGTGTAGAGGGCTTGATGAGGCTGTTTTCCTTCCTGCTGTGACAAAAATTGAGAGCTGCCTCCTATAGCAGAAACTGCCAGCACCAACCTAGACCTCCCGCACTGCAATTTGAGACCATTGCTTCTTGTTCTGTCATCTGCCACCACTGAGAATAGCCTAGCTCCATCCTCTTTGGAACCCTCCAGTCCATGGGTCTTGGGAAACACACAACTGGAAAAAAGACCCTCTTCACCCAAGCTTGCAGACATGAATTCACAGCTAATGGATCACTTTTGCACATATCCCCAGTTGGGGGATTACACTGGGTGCTGCAGTTACTCCCTGACAAACCCCAATGACTTCTCTCTTGCTGTCTAGGGGAGCGAGTCCCTTAAACGGACACTGTCTAATAGCTTCACCCAAGTAGGTTTCGGAGAAGTTTTATGAACCCTAGTACTAGGAGACATTCATCTGTATGTGAACTAAATGAAGACCACTGGCTTTATAGGTAAACATACCCATGCTCTGTTTGTAGCACAACAGCAGCTGGCTAGTTCAGGAGAATCAGAGAGAGAGACTGACCAGCCTCGTTTCATTTTCCAGGCTTAGTGAGGTGAAAAAGCAAACGAACAGCCTGAAGAGTGAAAAATAAACGAGATTGGTCATGGTCAGCTATCATTAGTAACAGGAAAGGGTCTGCTTTTAAAGAGGATTTCTATCTTGACAGTGTCCCTTTAAAATGCCAGACACTCCTATGCAATCCATGTCTTTCTGGGCCTGAAAGGCATCTCATTAGCGACCTTTGGAGGAAAACATGGTGTAAGACCCTAAGCCTCTCCCAGCAGCAGGTTGCCAGCTTCCCAGCTTCCCTGCACTAAGCCTGTAGCCCATAGGCAGAGAGAACAGAAAGGCCCAGGCAGCAAGTCTCCAAGAAACACGTGCAGGGAAGCTCTGACCAGGTAACAACAGGCTGGGGGAATTGTGGAGACAAGCCTGCTGCTGCTCAGACCAAGGAGGGGTGTGGGAAATACTGCCCTTGCCTTGCACTGCTGCCTGATGAACCGCACCTTGCTCCCTCCCAGAAATTTCTCACTTCCCCTCCTTCTCCACAGATCTCCGAGGAGAGGTTCCATACTACACTGGCTGATCCGTTTGGGCCATCAGTCAGCACAGTTTGCCTTCAATTACTGGAGAAGGATGACATTGTATCTGCCCCAAAATGCATGCACACAGGTGGGGCTAGGGGAGGTGTTTAAGGAGCGGGAAAGAGAAGAGAAACTTGTCACCACCCTCACGCTGGAGTAACTTGGTGTTTGCATTACTTCAAGCAGGACCAAACTGATCCTCTTGTTCTCTCTCAAGCTGGAAAAAGGTCTAGCTCAGGGTCAAAACAAGGCAAACAGCTACTTTGGCCTACCATGTGCAATGAATCCTGGAAGGCTGCTGACAAAACACCTAGGGGAACGTGAGGGCTTTACCACCTCATTTAAAATCCAGAAGGCACTTGATTGGAATTTTGCATCAGCTGGTGTTTGTGAGCATTTCCAGCTGCAACTCAGTTCCTTGGCTTCTTCCTTCTCAAGCTGAGTCAGACTGTGCTGAAAGGCCATGGGGGTGGGAGCAAGAGAGGTCTCCCCCTCTGCCCCACAGCTGACAATCAGGTAAAGCTCTGGTGACCCTTAACTCCCGCCCATTCCCCCAGGCACCGAGAACTATTTGGCAGGGATGGGGGTGTTTGAGGTATTTAAAACGTGTTCATTCTGGTGACGCAAAGTTCCAGGAGCACTGTAGTTGACAGGTTTTGCTGCCTCTCTGCTGCTGACAGTCTATGTTAAGCTTGCAGCCCCAGGAAACGTGCAGTATTTAGCATGTCATCTCTCGTCAGGTAGCACCCGCACAGCTGGCGGTATCCCGTGAATGATTCCCGCCCATGCAGGATGCGCCAGTTATCCACAAACAGCGCCTACATAAGAGGAGAAAAGCACTGAGAATACGGAGTGAAGAAGTGTCCACATGAACAGAGGACATATTAGAACAGATTATGACCTAAATGGCACATTGAAACATTAGTTGTGGCCCTTGGGCTGCTTAATATATAGCAGTGGTTCTCAAACTTTTGTACTGGTGACCCCTTTCACACAGCAAGCCTCTGAGTACGACCCCTCTTATAAATTAAAAACACTTTCAAATATTTTTAACATTATAAATGCTGGAGGCAAAGCAGGGTTTGGGGTGGAGGCTGACCGCTCGTGACCCCCCACGTAATTACCTCACGACCCCCTGAGGGGTCCCGACACCCAGTTTGAGAACCCCTGATACATAGGCATTGAAATGAAGAATGAATTACTATTTACAGTGCAGTAGCTCCTAGGAGCCCCAGTCATGGACCAAGGCACCACTGCACTAAGTGCTGTATAAACGCAGAAGAAAAAGCTCCAAAGAGCTTCCAATCGAAGATGAGAGACGACAGATGACACAGACACACAGCGGAGTACAAAGAAACAATGAGACAGTACTGGCACAGTCTATACCATTTGCTTGTGCTTCTATGGTAGTGGTCTGTTGGCAGAGTTCACCAGCACTATAAACCTGGCAGGGAGAGGCTGAGGGTGGAAGGGGCACAAACACTAACCTCAGGGGTTGCCATACTCCACTTTTCGGGCTGCACATCCTCCCCTCAGCCATGCAGGAGCAGAGGCAGATTGTAGCAGCTTTCTGACACTAATCTCCCCTGGCTGAATCTGTTTTGTGTGTATGTAAACTTTTTCAGTAGGCTTGGACCGATGTGTCCCCTGGGCCAAAACATGCCTAGGATCTGCACACTAGTAACATGGTCTGGTTCTGTGCATTGTAATTGTAATGCTAGACAAGGGGTTAAAGCACAGCACATCCTTGGCATTGTAAACCCTGGGGTGCAGCCTTCTTTTTTCTGCTTCCATGGTTTGTGCACCACACACTTCAGTCACGTCTGGGGTGGGAGAATATTGATTTTATATACTGTTTTGCAGTGCAAGACTCTGAGAGCAGCCCAAGAGGATGGAGTTTGATAGGAATGTTGGTCTCATCTGTTTCCTCAGATGCCCTCTACATGTTTCATATATTTCCATTAATAAGACCTCCCACTTCTACAAGACCTCAAAGCACTTAACACATTAACCCTCACAACCTACCTCACACTGGTATTTTTATTGGCCCTACTTCACAGATCAGGAGATCTATTTCCCCATCTGTGGCAGCCCTCCTCCCACACTGTTTTTGGGTGAATTCCCATTATTTTTGGTTTGACATGTGGCCACATCCTCCCTCTGCCCCACTTTTTCTGGTGGTAAGAATGTATGCAATGGAGACTTGTGTGCTGCTGATACAGTGCATCCTACCACAGGGTTGAGGGGGGGGAAACTGAGGCACGGGGAACGTATCCAAAGTATTACATCAAGTCAGGGGGAAGATCAGCTGTCTTAATTGCCAGTTCCCTGTTATATCGAAATAAGTGCTCTGCCTCCTTCAATGCAGTGAGCTCATATGCTCCCCCAACCTATGACTACCTTGCCTGGCTTCAGTTTGACCCAGAGTTCGTTTTCCGGTCTCCGTAGCTCTGTGGTGAGTGTGCGATGCGCGGCATACCAGCGATGCACAACATCATAAGGCACTGTGTTGATGACAGCTCGGTCGTAGTTATTGTACCTGGGTCAGAACAAAACAGAAGAGACAGTCACCATGGATCTATGAGCAGAGCAGAGCCAGATATTCCACAGGAAACCTCTAGAGTCTAATGCACAAAGGACATCTTTAGGAAGGCCACAAAAAACGCATTGGGGTTGCTCTGTATTTATGTAGTAAATATGGCAGGGGTGAGGTGGGCGAAGAGTGGGGATTTAAGTAGGAACAAGTTTAAATCCAAACAAAACTATCCTCACTGAATTATTTTCCAAAAACAAAACAAAACAAACACCATGCCACATTTCTGTTAATATTTTGTTTTGGATTTTTTTTTAAACCTGCTGGGCTCAAATGACCTGATTGGGTCCCTTTCTTATAAAAACCCCTTTAAACTACAATTGACAATTTACCCGGTGCAGGGTGAAGTTAGAGCACTGCAGTGCAAGACAGAGGCAGCATCATTTAAGTGACTTTCAATCACTCATTTGCCAGCTTGGAATGCTGGGAGGGTGAAATTCACCCAATGGAGAGAGCCAGCAAAAGGCCCCCACACCAGAGTGATTATTTCTTTATGGTTAGCAAGTAGGAACAAAATAAAAAATGATGCATGGTTATTGACCTGTATGTCAAGGGATACATGGGTATAAACTCAAAGCGGAAGATCAACCCTGATGTATCATGGAGAACCTTAAACTCCTCCTGTGATAATAAAAGGAGATTGTGCCGGAAGTGCATGTGCAATCTACTATCTTATTCTCCAATCAGTGACTAGCTCAACACTGTTTTGGGAATACCAGTGCTTGAACAAACTGACCAATCAGCATCCTCAGTAGGAAACAATCAGTGGAAGCCTGCTTCAATGCTATGTACGTTTAATGAAAGAGAGGTACAGGGAGCAGGGGTGAATGTTTATAGTTCATCTTAGGTGCTGTTATGAGGTACAGAGATGGCAAACACAACTGATCATCATCCAAAGTAAAGAGCACAAGCTGGACAGCTTGCATTCTAACCAGAATCAAAGACTCAATACAACTTGGGCTAAGTTTTACCCCACCTCCCTGTAGACGAGGTGGAAATTCAGAAAGACCTATGTATAAGGGGGCCTGATCCTGCTGGCACTGAAGTCAATGGCATGACTCTCATTGACCTAAATAGTGCAGGATCCAGCTGAAGAGGAAGACTTGTGCCACCTGCAGTCCCCCTGCAGAAAGATGACTGTGCAGGGCAATGGGTGGGTGCACTGGGGTTGGCAGCTACTCGCAGTCTGAGATTTAAGAGCCAGAGTTTTCTGTTGAAATGTATAGGGTGTTTGGGCTTGTGGCTGCTTGCCCAGGAGATGATGCTCTGAAAATTCCCTGGACATCTCCCCATTGTCCGTCTGGAAATTTGGCAGGCATGGAATTGCCACATGTAATTGTTTTAGACATTTATAATGAATGGCATGGGTAACCACTGAAAAATAAGTGTGTGGAAGTTGGTGAGAATTACGTAAAATATTCAGATTAGAATAGTGGCTCCCACCCTTTCTGGGCAACTGTCCTCATTTTTCAGATGAAAGCCTCGCCTGTAGACAGGGCCCGTCCCCTCCCTTTCAGCCGAGTGTGCTGTAACCCATATTACAGCCAAGGCTGTTTCAAACCCAGTCTTGCAACTGTTCCGTTGCAGGGCAGACAGCTCGCAGCTGAATGGGAGATGGTCAAGAAGTGGCATTGCCAGAGCTCAGAACAGAGGCTTATCTTTAAAAGATAGGGTAGAGAGCCTAAAGTACCAGTTAGAAGAGCCGGCAGCACTGGTACATGGTTCAGTGGCTGGGAGGGCAGGAGAATATGCAGGATGTAGAGGAGAGTGGTTCTATCAGTCTACACTGTGCAACAGGACCAGCGTGCTGGAAAATCCACACACGCCTTTAATGGCTGCTCCCTCCTCTCATCTCCCCTCAAACAATGGTGTGATCCATTATTTCTCACCTGATCAAATAGAGCTCATTGTTCCAGGGGTAGATATTCAAAATTGGCCCAACCCCAATCATGTGGTTGTGACAGCCCACAACATTCTCAATGTACTCATGTTTCAGCGGCACCTTGGTGAGGAGCTCAAATTCTTCAGGAGCTCGCTGGAGAACCTGCTCTGCTGCATAGAAGCCATCCACCAGCAGCGTCCTGCCACCTGTCCCTTCGTGCTTGAGGCAGTGGAACACCTGGATACTGCAAAGGGGGAGAGAACACACAACACAAAGGAAAATCCAGTCAGTCTGTCACATGGTAGAGAATGAAGTCATGTGGGTTGTTATAGGAAGTTAACCACCAAGATAGGGGAATGAACCCGGGAAAGCAGCAGCTCACGACAGCTTCAGAGTCTCTTTTATAGTATACTTCATTTAATTGGGACACCTGCCAGGGAACTGAAATGGCCCAATAGCAAGTGGTAGATGCTGCTGTTTTACTATGTCAGGTATCATACATTTCACTGAATGAGGACAGAGCCAGCCAGTGCAAAATGCTAAGAAGTATTTAACCCTAATATATAAGTAGTTGTGAAATTCTAAAGCCCAATCTTATAACCAAAGTTATTAATTAAACACTGCAGGTTTATTTAGTACATTGTTTCCTCCGCCCCCCGCCCCAACTGAAGTCTGAAATGGCTCCTTTTCTTACTACGGATTAGAGGACATGCTAGGACAGGGGTGGGCAAACTTTTTGGCCTGAGGGCCACACAGGGGAATAGAAATTATATGGCAGGCCATGAATGCTCACAAAATTGGGGTTGGGATGCAGGACGGACTGCAGGTTCTGGGGTGGGGATGAGGAGTTTGGGGTGTAGCAGGGTGCTCTGGGCTGGGACCAAGGGGTTCGGAGGGCGGTAGGGGGATTAGGGCTGGGACAGGGGTGAGGGAAGGGGTGCAGGTTCCGGCTGGGGGTGCGGGCTCTGGGGTGGGGCACGGGATGAGAGGTTTGGGGTGCAGGAGGGTGCTCTGGGCTGGGATTGAAGGGTTTGGAGAGCGGGAGGGGGATCAGGGCTGGGGAAGGGGCGTGGGAAGAGACTCAGAGGGTGCAGGCTCCGAGCGGCACTTCCCTTCCTCAAGCAGCTCCTGGAAACAGTGGCACGTCCCTTCTCTGGCTACCATGCGGGGGCGCAGCCAGGCAGCTCTGAGTGCTGCCCCATCCGCAGGCACTGCCCCTGCAGCTCCCATTGGAGTGTGCAGGAGTCGGAGTGGGGCCATGCTGCAGCTTCCAGGAGCCGTGTGGTGCAGCCCGATGCAGCACCCCGTCTGGAGCGCTGGAGTGGGGCCGAGCCATGTGGTACGGCCCCAACCCAGTGCCCCGGCTGGAGCGGGGCAGAGCCATGTGGTACGGCCCCTGACCCAGCGCCCCGGCCGAAGCGCAGCCAAACCGCTGGTGCTGCCCCGACCCAGCGCCCCGGCCGGAGCAGTGCCGAGCCACGTGGTCCGGCCCCTGACCCAGCAGCCCGGCTGGAGAGGGGCTGAGCCACATGGTCTGGCCCCTGACCCAGTGCCCCGGCCAAAGCGCGGCCGAGCCGCTGGTGCTGCCCCCGGCCGGAGCGGAGCCGGGCCGCGTGGCGTGGCCCCCAACCCAGCACCCCGGCCGGAGCGGGGCCGGGCCGCATGGCGTGGCCCCCAACCCAGCACCCTGGCTGGAGTGGGACCGAGCTGCATGGTCCGGCCCCCAACCCAGCGCCCTGGCTGAAGTGCCGGAGCAGGGCCAAGCCACATGGTGCAGCTCGCGGGCCGGATTTGGCCCATGAGCCGTAGTTTGCCCACCCCTGCATTAGGACATGGCTTAATTAAAATACTGTGTTACAGTTTCTACAGCAGTTTTTACAACGATCAAATTGCTTTTAAGTACTATGAACTATTCCCAACCCAAAAGAAGATTCACCCTGGATTTTAGAAGTTCAACAGGCATAAAACTAATTCCTCTAGAAAATGCCTTAGAACAAAGTTAGTTTAAAAAAAAAAAAAAAGCAAGCTTTGGAAAAATAGGGAAACCAAAGTTAAAGTTCTACTTAAACCACGAATGTCTCTCTCAGGTGCTCATCATCGTAGCATCTGAGTACCTCACAAACTTTAATATATTTATCCTCAACACCTGTGAGGTATGGAAGTGCTACTGTCCACATTTTACAGATGGGAAACTGAGACACAGAGCCTGAGTGAGTTGCCCAAATCACAGAAGGAGTCTGGCAGAGCAGGGAAATCAACTCAGGTCTCTTGAGTCCCAAGCTATTTCCTAGCCATTGGGCCAGCCCTCCACAAAATATTGCAAGGTGTGGAATTGCTCAGATAAGGGAATCCAAACAACCTGAACTTCACCCCTCTACCACCTCCAATGTATCTTCCCCATTTATTTCTCTTCAGACCTACTTGGTAAGGTGTAGTCTGACAGATAGCACCCTCCAGCCACACAGGGCTCCCCAGCACCAGTTTTATGGGTTGACAGTGATATAAAATTATTCTGCTTAACTGCCAGGGGGCAAATTTGTCACGTACACATGGAAGATATACAGCTATTGCTATGTCTTAACTCAGGAAGTTCCTTCCAGAGGAAATGTAGCCAAACTCCAAACCTGGAGACAATGGACTTTTCTGTGCATGCGTCCTGTAGATAAACTGCTTAGTTTGCAAAATAAGCAAGGAGGAGGGGGCAAGTAGCTGAACAATAAGGGGTCATAAGAGGGGCAGATACATAATTAGCAAGCTACATGTATGGTAATGATGGCAAATTTTGGCCAATCATAGAGCGATAGATTATCATAAGCAACTGCATATAATGCTTTGGTGTAAGTGTTTTCTTTGTTCTTGCTGACTTATGAGCTCGAACCCAATTGCAATTGAAATAAACGGATCGCCCCTCCCGGGGCTCCTTGCTTGGCTAGCTGTGCCCGTCTCTCCTTATTCCTCAGCTGGAACGGACAGAAATTTCTATGACAACAGTTTCACCCATTAATTTACAACCACCACTTTCTGCAGCACTCTGTGCCTTCTCTGGAAGTCTCCGGTCCAATTCTAACTGACTGGTCCTAAGTTTTAGGAGGCCCCATGAGAAACGGTGTGCAGTGATCCATCCAGCTCATTCATCCAGCACCTGCAGCTTCTCTCTGTTGGGCTCTAACTATCCCTTTACACCCACAAGCTGCAAGAGACTTCAAAACTGGCACTACCCATTCAAAGGCAGATCTCCTGACAATGGGGAAAGCTGTTGACAGACCAAGACAGCTGCAGAAAGGTTGCTTGATGACACTGTGTCTTTCAAAAGGTTAGCATCCTGTAGCACCTAGAGGTAATACTGCCTGTTCATTTTAGGATATCAAAACCAGAGATAATGGTGGAGGCCATTGCAGACAGCGACACACTAGGGAGACAGGTTTCTTTCAAAGCACAAAGGAACATCAATAGCTAATGATTAGCAGTTTCTCCAGCTACTGGTTTAATCAGAAACCTTTACTACTCTGCAAGAAATAATACCATTCACTCTTAAGGACTTTTTTCTATCTGTTTCAGTGGAGTTTTCATTGGACAGTTCCTTAATCAAATCAGCTGTGCAGAGCATACTACGCAAAAAAGGTCTCAAAATAATGCCCAGCTGTTCATAGAACATACTAGAGCAGCCTTGCTCCTGGGTGACCAGCATGACCTGTGCTTTGTGCAAGTACTCCTCTCCCACATACAGGGCATACTAATAAATCATTATTCACTTAACATCTCTTGCTGCTATGCAAGTTACTCCTTGCCATCTAGACCTTCTGTGCTAGTTTCATTGCCATGACAGTACATGGGATGTGAACTGGGCAGCTGGAGCTTAACTCCGGCAGGCAGTTTTGTAGGTTCCCTCTACCCTTCCTAAGGGCTGCTCTGCAGTTCATATGCAGCCAGAGGATCTCCCCCGATTACTCCTTCCTCTGCTTTCAAAGCTCCATGCTGCAGTTGCCACCCTTCAGATGATTAGAAATAGGGATGTAACTATCCATTAAAAAAGTTAACCGTTTAAATGTTTAAAATTATGACATTTAATCGGTTAACCGATTAAAGGGAGAGGGGGCCTGAGGCCGCTGTGGCTGGGGGCTGCTTGCTGCGGTTGGAGGGTCAACAGTTAGGGTCGGTTAACCAGTAAGACTAATGCTTACCATTTAACCATTTTAGTATTTTACAGCCGTACTTAGAAAGTGCTCAACAACACTGGTCCCTAATTGGGCCTTCGCCTGGTGACTGAGGGAGCTGTCTCTGCAGCATTCCCAACCTCCTGCCATAAAAAGACAGACTGAAAATGAAGCCTTGAGTCTCCTGCACAACAGTGTGATCAACATTAGGCCAGCTGCCTTTTTCTCTCAGGGCATCAAAACCTGCATCACAAACAGGGTATAAAGTCTACAACACAGGGACTAAAACTACTTGTGAACACAGAGTCTGGGAATGAGCATTTAATGAGCATGTTGCAGTTCTGAACATATTGAAAATGGAGACAGGCATGAACTTTGGAACTGAGGAGTCTGAGCAGCAGGCGGTTTAACTGATGACAGTAATACACCACTGGAAGAAAGTAAATCCAAACTCATTTGAAGTTTTTGCTCAGATCATGTGTAATGATGGTATATAAGTCAGCACAACCCACACATCACAGCTTACAAATAATCAGTCACTAATATGCAACTTGTGAATTTTGGGATTCTGGAATCCATATATAGATTTTCATAGTAATTTTACTAACGCTGTAAAGCACATAAACTGCAAGGTAGTTGGGTGGCTGGGCCTACTATATATGGTCATATGGCCAACTTCATCCCAAAAGAGCACCAAAGAAGTACCTGAGTCACCTTGACAGCAAGATGTAGTCACCCAAGAGCCAACCCACAATAAGAATGTGTCCCTGAAGGACCAGGAAGTTTCAGGTGGGGAAAAAAGGGGATTTAAAAAATAAAGCATGCTGCCAGATTCCTGAATAAAACAGGATTTCAGTGCAGCAGTACCATACTGTTGGAATGGGTGAGTCTGTTTAGTGCATGGCTACGGTCTAGAACCAGCCAACCCACTTATCAAAAATTCTGCCATTAGAAACTTCAGTCTAGTAAATTACTCTTGTCCTTTGAGCTGCATCTTTGGGAACCAGCACAAGCACTTACCCACAGGGCTCCTGGAAGTAGGTGGTGTCAGTGTGACGATCCAGAGCCAGTTTTGTGTATGCTGTGTCTCCCCGGGAGAAGTCAGAGGTGAAATACCACATTCTACCATAGATGGTCTCCCTGGAAGAGAAAAGACAGGATCTGATCAGGTGTATATCACAGAGAGGCCAGTAAACACAATTGGTGTGGCACAAATTGCTTTAGGGAACATCCTACCTGTTTTCATAAGTGTATCTGTCATCATCCCCCAAAGTGTACAAGTTAGAAAGTCAGAATATCATGTGCTGCATATTTTATAATATACATTAAGTGACTTTCATTACTAATGTCTCAAGTGAAGGTGCTTCCACTACTTTAAGTATTCAATTCCTCTCTCTCATAACAGAGCCCCAACCTCTCCTGTGTAACCCACATAGCCTTTGAAGTCTCATAACCAATATCCTTCAAGCAGATGAATGGGTCTACTCCTACAGCATTCCTATAAAATCAACAAAAGCCTCACTCCTGAGTCATGAGAGGCATTCCCACAGTCTGAAGATGCTGACCCTCACACATCACATCCTCCCTTCCACCCACCTCCTCTGGGATTGCACAGAATCCCTGCTTGAGTTTCAAGGCCCCCCGAGTTTCCCATCCGACACCCACTCTCCAAGCCTTGAACTGTGGGGAAGGAAGATGACCAGCAGCGGAGGAAATAGGCTGAAGACAAGCAAATTGTACTGGTAGAAAGCTGAAAAGCACTCAGCCCTAGATCCTCAAAGGTATGTAGGTGCCTAACTCTCTTTGATTTCACTGGGAGTTAGGCACCTACATACCTTTGAGGATCTGAGTCTCGGGTGCCACAGTAATGAGGCCTATAAGTACCTAGACAGATAACACATATAAGATTCCCTTGGGAACCCATCAATGCCACTCCTTAACCAGCGTGAAAAGAGTGGCAGTTCCATGATGTAAATCTCTGCACTGCTGATGGCCTGGGGCACATAAGCTGTTTCTACAGCACTCAGTCTGGAGACAGCCTGAAATTCAAACCCAGGCTAGACTAGTGGGGTTTTTGTTTTGTTATACACTTGAAATATCTTTCCCACACTTCTCTTTTCGAGCCAACTATAGATTTTTTTTTTTTAATCTTTCCAGCTCCCAGGCCCACGGCTGCCCTCCCAACCCTTCATATCAAAACAGGAAATCTCTCTCCTAGTGAAGCTCAAATCTTCCCAGTCCAGCACTTACTCACTGCTCTGCACATTATCCATTAGCACAACAGTGGCCAGATGCTGCCTATGCAGCTCCACAATGCCATAATCCTAGCTTTAATAAGGAGGTGGGGCTCGTGGACATGGCAGGTTCTACAATGCAACATTCCATCTTGAACCAAATGGCCTGGCCACAGAGACTGCAGGTCCCAGTATGTAATACTTCACCTTGACTGGAGTTATATTCTGGGATCGAGGGTAAGAGAAGGCTGCACCTCCATACGAAAGAGAGAGACTACAATCTGCTCGTTATATGTGTGGCCCTTGGAGCTTCTAGAAAGTTGCACGTGGCCTTCCTTAGGGCATCTCTAGTTACCTGATCAAGCTGATCCTCTCTGCTAAGATTTCCGTGTCCTCTTTGGTGGGGGGGGACGTTTTCTACAAAAGCAATGCCATACAGCAGGAAGTTTTGCAGGAATTCTTTCAGGCCCTCTTTTGTCTCCAGGAAGTTCTGGCAGTCCACGGAGGGCACTTGGGCTTGCTGATAGATCTCAGCATTCCAGAGAATTCGAGGATGCATGACCTGCTGCTTCTGACCCTCATAGCTGTTCTTCACCAGCCACTCTAACCCATACCTGGTCACATGACCATCTGGCCCTGTGATAAAACAGAAAGCGTTGTCGCCACTGGAGCTTTGGGGTGATCAGCCAGTTAAAACACGGGATTGGGATGTAGTCGTCACCCTATAATTTTGTCTAGCAACTGCTTCTTACTGTGGAATTAGATTTTTCTTGGACAAGTTACATGAAGAAGTTATCTTTGAGGTTACAGTGAGAAAGTGAGCATTTGATACACCACATTGCTATTTCATATTTCAGTGCACCTGGTGGCTCCTTTATTTGCATTACAAGTTCTAGTTCCCAGCTACACTACTTTTATTTTAGTCTTAGGGCTCCATATTCTGGCCATCTCCCCAGGTGTGACGTGGTGCCTTAGTCAAAGTTCAGAACAGAATGCATCAGCTTTGCAGTCCTATAACCTGAAATCAGATCCATTAAAACCCCTTAGACAGTACAGAGTGGTAATGCACCAGGAATCAGGCACTGGTAGCACAGGAATGGTCTGAATAAACTGCTGAGCTCTAACGGGACAAATCTACAATCACTCCTCAGGCAGGAGAAAAAGTGACAAGTTGTGGAGCCGAGAACAACTAGTAGAGGATAAAATAGGAGACAGGAGTTCTGATCAGACCCTCACATTTAGGGGGGAAATGTAAAAGAAAGGAAGTCTTTCATCTTCTAATGTATTGTTTGAGAGTCTGCATTTTCTCTTGTTCAAACAAAACATATTTGGGGAAAAAAGGAAACAGAGCTTTAGATTCTGAGGGAACGTTTACAACTATAGCACAGGCCAGAACCACACTCTGTTCTCAAGTCATCTGTTCACACCTAGGTCTCTTCCCAAAACAGCACTTGATCCAGAGATAAGCCTGGACTTCCCCAGGAAACGTAATAAAAATGTAAGCCCTTAACTGTGATCCATCAGCATTCTTTGCCACAGCAAGATCGCCTTACCATCAGCCTAAGAATGTAAGCTAAAGAGCACCTATGGGGCACTGGGAAATCTTTACCATATGCCCATATTCAGTTCTTACATTCATTTAGATTTTTTTTTTTTGGTGGGGGACAAAAGGGCACCACTTGTTTTGTGACTACGAAGGTTTGATTTTGTCCTATTTAAAAAAAATATGCTTTAAAAAGTCACCTCTCTGAATTTTATTTTTTTCTTGTTAAAAAAGAACACACAAGAGAAGAGAAAAAAAATTATTTTGAACTTTGTTTACTTTGTGCAATGACTATACACAAAGTGCTGTCAAGCTGAAATGTTTCCCCATTTGTATGGGTCTTTTAACACAACCAACAGAGGAAAGCAACAGTATATAGTGGGAAAACATGTTTCTCAATCACAGGAATAGGCAGGGGACTGAGGTAATGTGTGGGACCTGAACCTACTTTGAAACGTTTCTGAAATACACTAGGTTTCTAATGGATATTGTTTCTTAAAGACTAAATCAGCAGTTCAGCTCTCACAAACCACTGTGTAACAAGTTGTCAGCGTGCATGCAAAAAGATGCAAAACAATGAGACTGTGTCTAAACAGAGACGCTTACCACTAGAGTTATAGTGCTATAACTCCCTGCATGGACACACTTACTATGGATAGGTCTACACTGCACTTTTGTCGGTAAAACTTTTCTCAGTCAGGGGTGTGAAAAAAAATAAAAGCCACCCAACTGACAAAAGTTTTACCCATGAAAAGCACCTGTGTGGACAGCGCTTTGTCGGCAGGAGATGCTCTCCCGTCAATAAAGCTACCGCTGCTCGCTAGGGGTGGTTTTATTTTGCCAGGAGTAGAGAGCTCTCTCCTGCCAGCAAAGAGCAGCTACACGGAAGACCTTACAGCAGCACAGCTATGCCGCTGTAAGGTACACAGTGTAGACATAGCCTAAAAGAGTGCCTGTCATAACTATAAAGGGAAGGGAACAGCTCTCTGTGTACAGAGACTCCAAATCCTTTTACCTGTAAAGGGTTAAGAGGCTCGGGTAACCTGGCTGACACCTGACCCGAAGGACCAATAAGGGGGCAAGATACTTTCAAATCTTGGGGGGGGAAAGGCTTTTGTGCGTACTCTTTGTTTTAAGGGGTGGTTTGCTCTTGGGACTGAGAGGGACCAGACATCAATCCAGGTTCTCCCCATCTTTCTAAACAAGTCTCTCCTATTTCAAACTAGTAAGTAAAAAGACAGGCAAGGCGTCTTAGATTTACTTTGTTTTCTCAACTTGTAAATGTACCTTTTTACCAGAGTGTGTATCTTTGTTTGCTGTACTTTGAACCTAAGACAGAGGGGGGTCCTCTGAGCTCTTTAAGTTTGATTACCCTGTAAAGTTATTCTCTATACTGATTTTACAGAGATGATTTTTACCTTTTTCTTTAATTAAAAGCCTTCTTTTTTAAGAACCAGATTGATTTCTCCTTGTTTTAAGATCCAAGGGGGTTTGGATCTGCATTCACCAGGAGTTGGTGAAAGGAGGGTGGGAGGAAGGAGGGGGGATGGTTAATTTCTCCTTGTTTTAAGATCCAAGGGGGTTTGGATCTGTGTTCACCAGGGAATTGGTGAAAGGTTTCTCAAGGCTTCCCAGGGAGGGAATTCTTGTGATGGTGGCAGCGGACCAAAGCTAAGCTGGTAGATAAGCTTAGAAGTTTTCATGCAGGCCCCTACATTTGAACCCTAAAGTTCAAAGTGGGGATACAGCCTTGACAGTGCCTTTTTCAGGTTTAGCTTATGTCGCTTTGGCAGTGGTATAAACTAAACTGGAAAAAGGCACTCTTGTAAGAATGGGGATTTATAATTATGCCACTATATCACTATGACTATAGCAGTATAGCTATGCCAGTAAATTTCCCCATGCAGACAAGCCCCAAGTTTCAGATCTCCACTAGTGAGAAACAGCTTTTTAGACACATTGAAAACACGCTGAGAGTTTCCTTTTCAGTTAAAAAGCAACACAACCCTGAAAATGATTTAAGGCATGTGCTGATTGTAGAAAGCACCTAGGGACATCTCGCAGAATGACACTCTTCAATGTTTACCTTGGCTGCAGCTGGGCCCCTTCAGAACATTTAGTGCAGACTCCCTTGACTTACATGTTAGAAAGAGCGTGGTCTCATCCACTCGGATAGTCTTTGGTTTGATGCACAGATCCACACTAGCTGTGTCTAAGCTGCGCTGGTTGGTCTTGCTGTTGTAGCAGGATGCTGAGCGGCAGTGATCACGCAGCCACACATAATCAAAGCGCATCAGGGTCTCTGCGTACCTGAGCTCTGGGAAAATAGATAGTTAAAAGAGTCCTTGGTCAAACAAGTTAAAACCAAGGATTTGTCTACACTGCAGCTGGGAGGTGTAATCCCCACTTAGCTAGACATACATGTAAGCGCTGTGCGAGCTAGCACACCAAAATAGCAGTGTGGCCACAGCGGCCCAAGTACATATCAAGGATTTCAGACTTAGGCAGCTAGCCTGAGCCGTCGTGGCCACACTGCTATTTTTAGTATGCTAGCTTTATCAGAGAATTACACCTCCCAGCTGCCATGTAGATGTACCCCAAAAGGCTAAGAACCCCACCTGTATAAGCCCACTTGCAGCAACTACAAAGTCTATTAGTATTTACCTTCAAACCACTGCGCACACACACTATCTATCTCCAAGGGGTGTTGTGAATATTAGGCAAGTGTTATTTTAACCAGGGCCTAATATTCTATAGATTGTTCGATTCTCACTGAGCCCACAGACGTCCCCTCCTGCGACACTGTTGGGAAGGAAGACTGCAGCTTAGCCATGCTGGCCACGTACCTAGGCAGTTACTTATTCCTTTCTTCCCTATTCCTTGACAGACCAGACTATTTCATTCCCTTTGCAGAAGTGCTGTCCAGCAACTATCCGAGATAAGATGCTCCCTTCAGTATGGCTGAAACCATATTGCTAACTGGCAATTGTATAGAAATACAGAAAGAGGAAAAAGTCCAGCCAAATAGGATAGGTATAAATCAACAGGTCCATCTGAATACAACGGAAACCACTACTGCACTGGCACTAAGCTGGACACTGAAATATTCCTTGACCCATAGCATGGCAGGGTGCTTTTGCCTTTCTCCCATCCCCAAACAGCTTAAACCTGTCTCAGCCAGCTCTGATATCTTTAAGAATGTCTTTGTGTAAGAGGAGAGTCCCTCCCCCTCTAGTCCAGCTTGGCTTTTGAAATCCAAGTATCCAGATCCATATGCATTGCATCATCCTTTGGACCAAAGGTATCTTAAATACTGGGCAATTTCCTTTAATTACATACTTAAAAAAGAGACGCTTTCAAATAGAAAGGTCCCCTAAACTAGCCTCATTTGCAGGGCCCTACCAAATTCATGGCCATGAAAAACACGTCATGGACCATGAAATCTGGTCTCCCCCTTGAAGTCTGGTCTTGTGTGTGCTTTTACCCTGTATTATACAGATTTCACAGGGGAGACCAGCATTTCTCAAATTGGGAGTCCTGACCCAAAAGGGAGTTGCAGGGGGGCTTGCAAGGTTATTTTAGAGGGGGAGGGGATCGTTGTATTGCCCCTCTTACTTCTGTACTGCCTTCAGAGCTGGGTGGCTGAAGAGCGGCTGCTGTCGGCAGGTTCCCAGCTCTGAAGACAGCGCCCTGCCAGCAGCAGTACAGAAGTAAGCGTGGCAATACCATACCATGCCGTGCTTACTTCTGCACTACTGACTTCAGAGGTGGGTGGCCAGAGAGTGGCGGCTGCTGACTGAGGGCCCAGCAGTGCAGAAGTAAGGGTGGAAATACCAACTATGCCATTCCTTACTTCTGTGCTGCTGTTGACGGTGGCTCTGCCTTCAGAGCTGGACTCCGCTCTCCAGCTCTGAAGGCAGTGCTGCTGCCTGCAGCAACGCAGAAGTAAGGTTAGCAGTACTGCAACCTCCCTTACAATAACCCCTTGTAACCACTCTACAACTCCTTTTTGGGTCAGGATCCCTACAACACTGTGAAATTTCAGATTTAAATAGCTGAAATCATGACATTTACTATTTTTAAATCCTCTGATTGTGAAATTGACCAAAATGGACCATGAATTTAGTAGGGCCCTACTCATTTGATATGCCCAAGGTATATCTTGACATGGTGACTGTATGTATCCCCGTGGGCTGCGCTGAAAGGCTACACATGGATAGTGAATTGCCTTCAGGTAACATATAGAGCAGAATTTAGCTAAGAAGTATCAGGTATAATTTAAACACTGGAGCTATTAGGGGGTTATTAACTGGTCTGTCAGCTGCCTTACCAGTCTGCTTCTCTGTCTGACAAGGGGCTGAAGTGGCTTGCTCAAAGCCACGCAGCAAGTCAAGGCTGAGATGGGATTAGAACTCTGCCTTAGCCTGCTAGACTGGGCTGCCTCAAAACCATTAGGGCATGAAGATGACCTGGTCCCATACGTCCCTGAAAATACCAAACCAAACCTCTAAACCAGAGGTGGGCAAACTACGGCCTGCGGGACCCTCCTGCCCGGCTCCTGAGCTCCTGGCCCGGGAGGCTAGCCCCTGGCCCCTCCCCTGCTGTTCCCCCTCCCCCGCGGCCCCTGGGCAGCGGGGCTGCGAGCTTCTGGGGCAGCGCAGCTGCAGAGCCCGACCTGACCCGGTGCTCTGTGCTGCGCAGTGGCGACGGCGTGGCTGGCTCCAGCTCGGTGGCGCAGCTGTAGCACCGCCAGCCACCGGTGCTCCAGGCAGCGCGGTAAGGGGGCAGAGAGCGGAGGGATTGGATAGAGGGCAGAGGAGTTTGGGGAGGTGGGCAGGGGTCAGGCTGGTCAAAGGGCAGGGAACAGGGATCCCGGGGGGGCAGTCAGAAATGAGAGGAGGGGTTGGATGGGGTGGCGAGGGGCAAGGGTTCCGGAGGCAGTCGGGGACAGGGAGAAGGGGTGGTTGGATGGGGGAGAGGTCCTGGGGGGGCAGTCAGGATGGGGGGGGGTTGGATGGGCCAGAGGGGGCAGTCAGGGGCAGGGGTTCCGGGGGCAGTCAGGGGACAGGGAGCGGGGTGGGGGGTTGGAGGTGGATGGGGCAGGGGTCCCACGGGGGCTGTCAGGGAACAGGAGAGGTTGGGGGGGGCGGATGGGGGGAGGGCCGGGCCACGACCCCCTCCCCTAACCAGCCCTCCATACTATTTCCGAAACCCAATGTGGCCCTCAGGCCAAAAAGTTTGCCCACCCCTGCTCTAAACCATATAGTAAGAGGGCTGCGATCTGACTCTACTCTCACTTACACTAGTGGAAATTAAGAGTGACTTGACTGAAGAAGCACCACCACTGTAAAGCACGATCAGAAAAGGCTGCCTCCCACCCGACCCACACTGAGAGGTGGACACACACCAACACACGTGCACGCGCATACACTCTCTCCCCTTACCTAAATGATCACCATGTAATTGCCAGGCACAGTTCAGAGACGCTGGGGCCATATGGTGCCAACGGGATACAGCAGGGAAGCTCTTTCTGTAACAGGGTTGCCATGATATTTGGTGTCCACTGCCTCTATTCAGCAGGCACTGGGTGCTGGAGAATAGATGTGTCAACCTATGGCACCACATACTGGGGAAATTCAAGAGGAAGGAGAGACACCAATGTTACTATGGCTGGTTCTATGTTACTATTTATCTTTATTACAGAGGTGGCAATCAGGGCAAAGATAGGGTCAACCCAAAATAGTTTACAGTCTATGTTACTGACAAAACACAACAGCTAGATGAAAGACAAGTGTGGGGAGGTGAAAGTAACGGTAATAGGAGCAAGTTTAGGTGAAGCCTGGCAGTGTGCCCAAAGTAGCACTGAGTTGTTTCAAGTTACATAGAATCCACCATGTTCTCTAGTACAAACCAGCAAGTGACCCGTGCCCCACACCATCTACATAGCCATCATCAGTTGTACAGTGAAAATAATTTAATATGCTTCCGGTTTTTAATTAATACTTTTTTTTAATAGGGAGCTTTATTGCTGAACTAATGAACTTTGAATACTACTACTACTACATTCTCTCAATTACTACACAGCCACACAGGTTTCTAAGCTTAAATCAGAACCCACCCAGCTGTTTTGTGGCAGCAGGAATCCACATCTGTTATTATAACAACACTGACAGGGCACCCATCACAATGATATCTGGGTGCCCTTTACCCTGCTTTCAATCTACAGCTTTAGATCAATAATATTAAATATAGGAATGTTTGGAAAATATAACTGCATCAAGCAGGAGATGGAGAATATAGAAAGTGATTTTTATCTTTCATTTTAATTCTCATTTTGGGTGTTTCCTTCATCATTTTATCAATCAGAAAGAAGGTTTACCCTAACTCTGCTCTGATTTGCCATACCTTTCTATTCTTCTGAACACCGAGCCTGATCTCATTTCCAGCATCTCCACTTAAGGCTTTACTTGTTCATGGACATCCAGATGCTGGTAAGAACCGCAGCAATACAGAGGCTGCAAGTTTCCAAAGACCAGATCCTCAAAGGTATGTAAGTACCTAACTCTCATTGGAGTTAGGCACCTAAGTACCTTTGAGGATCTGGGTCCAAGACACTATCTGCTAAGCGGAGGAAGTAACTAGGCTACTCTCTCTGAAAAACACCTGCCAGTCTTAACAGCAAACAGAATGACCTTTGTAAAATGGAAGTTGTTTGAGATTAGACATAACAGAATTCTAAGGTTAGAATATCAGCAAGATGATTAATTGAACTCAGTCCATAAATTATTCATAGACAATAGGAAACAACAATCAGGAAGTTGCTAATTCTGGTGGTTACTAAAACCTAATAATCCCTCTTAAGCAGGCTGCAAGCAAGCAGACTGTTTTGCTAATCATCTGCTTTCATCTTAGAATCAAAGTGTTTTGGCTCAATGCAGTGGAGGGGGTGGGGTAGAAGGAAGGCAGGGAAAAGAGAAAAGTATGCTGCTGCATTACAGGCCTGTGGCTTGGGACAAGCGCTTTTGAAACACTGAATTATCACCTTAAGTGCCCAAGCATGAAAGACATTGAAAACTTGCATGCACCACCACTCCTAGTACCAAAGTCATCACCTACATTATTCCTGTATTAGGTGATACCATGGTTCGGAAATCACAACAGATTGGCCAATGTTAAGTTTTTAAATGGTGTCCAATGTACACCAGTTGAAGGGGGGAAAAAGGGGGGGGGGTCAGATAAGTTGCACTTTGGATACTTTTCATTCAAGGATCACAAAGCACTTTACAAACAACGACTAACTACGCTTCCCCTGCTCTG